TGCGTCAGTCCGGCAGCGCAACGCACAGACATTCCAAGGTAGCGGGTCACCCAAGACGAGCCTGAGCCATGGCAAGAGTTCTGTCTCGTGTAGGAGATGGCATCCGCACGCCCGGAATCATCTGGAAGAGATTTCGCCCATACCCGTCGAAGCGTCCCTCCAGACCACGCAGTTCGCGTCCCGCTGGGAGAGACAGTGCGAAAGTGACAAAAATCGAGTCGATGTCACTAACTGAGGTAATCTGAAACATGTCGAAGCCCGAGTATTGACGTTGGCCGGCATCTCATTCCACGTTATGCCATGATGCAAGGAAGAGAAGGCCGTGCAGGGGTCAGAAAAATCGACGTATGTCGACGTGCTAGCAGCCCAACACGACGCGACCAAGTTGGAGCACAGTGCAAGTGACCAGGCAGGAGTGGAATATGGAGATCGCCTGGTGTGCAAAGGTCAGCGAATGGACCCAACGACGTATGTCGTCGGTCGGCGTGCCGATCGAGGCTCTCAGCGGGCCAGAGAAATGAGCCGCCGAGCCGACTTGACGAACAGTGGATGCAGAGCAGAGCATGAGACGCAATGTAACTCAGGAGCGAAGTAGCTCTCTCCGCTTTCAGAATATCGACACAACGACGTATGTCGTCGGTTCTAGGTCGCATAGAGCGGAGGTTACCTAGTGGTCGTCGTGCGGCTAGCTGTCAAGTCAGCGTTGCATGTCACGTCCACTCGAGAGGAAGTCTCTCCTTCAGGAGATAGAGTATTTGGTAGTTCCTCGGTGTACATTTCCTTCAAGCGTGAGTGGGAGTATCGGTGGGTGTCGTGGTCCTCACTAAGGTATGGCATCTGTTCCGAGGATATGCAGGGAAGTTAGAGGCCGTCTGAGGTCTCCTGCTGCTCACTCGCTCCACGAACTGCCATGCTTGCAGTTCGTTCCGCGCTTGCAGTTCGCTCCGCGCTTGCAAAAAAACAAGAAATTGAACTTTCCGACCCGCCTGTGACGCTAAAAGGCCGAAGATCGTTGCGTCCTACGCCTCTGAGCCCCTGTCGATCTTTCGTTTTTGGCCCGAGGCTGTGGGCTCAACACCCTTTCGATTTTGAATCAGCTTCCTTGTAGACGATCGATTGTGGGCCCAACACCCCGCTTCATAAGAGAGAGGCACAGTGCCCTGTGGCGTCTTCGCGCCCAGCCACCTCCGGAGGCTGGAATCTCTGCGGTTGTCTCCTACTGGATTCGTTCCGCGCTTGCAGATCGTTCCGCGCTTGCAGATCGTTTCCGCTTCGTTTCGCGCTTGCAGTCCGTTACGCGCTTGCAGTTTGTTTCGCGCTGTGCTTGCGGTCCGATACGTGCTTGCAGTTTGTTTCGCGTTGATGCTTGCAGTTCGTTCCGCGCTTGCAGTTCGCTCCGCGCTTGCAGATCGTCCGCGCTTGCAGATCGTTCCGCGCTTGCAGATCGTTCCCGCTTCGTTTCGCGCTTGCAGTCCGTTACGCGCTTGCAGTTTGTTTCGCGCTGTGCTTGCAGTCCGATACGCGCTTGCAGTTTGTTTCGCGCTGTGCTTGCAGTTTGTTTCGCGCAGATCGTTCCGCGCTTGCAGTTCGTTTCGCGCTTGCAGATCGTTGCGCTTTCGTTCCGCGCTGTTGCTTGCAGTTTCGTTCCGCGCTGTTGCTTGCAGTTTCGTTCCGCACTGTTGCTTACAGTTTCGTTCCGCTCTTGTGTCATTCGAGCAAAAACTGCAAAGCTTTAGGGTTCGCTTTCTGGACGGGAGTTCTGAGGCTGCATCTTCGATCTCATGCTTCAAAGCTTATGCTGGAGGTCCGAGGTGAGGTCCCGAGGTCCCGAGGTCCCGAGGTCCCGAGGTCCCGAGGTCCCGAGGTCCCGAGGTCCCGAGGCGAGGTCCTGAGGTGAGGTCCTGAGGTCCCGAGGTCGACCTGTCACGTATTTCGTGCACGCATGCTTATTTTGCAGGATTTTGCGCGTCATGTGCTGCCATGAGTGTAGAGCTGCCTGTGGAGCTTTCCTTGTCCCAGCTGCCCGTCCTCGATCCCCTTTGACTTTGTGAAACCCGCGCCGCGGTTCATTCAGCTCAGCTAGGGCACATGCAGGTGATCTAGGGCACGGCAGCTCAACTAGGGCACAGCTCAGCCAGGGCACATGCAGCTCATGTGGGGCACTTCAAGGTACAGCAGCACAGCAGCACCACACATCAGCACAGCAGCACCGCACAGCAGCACAGCAGCAGAGCAGCAGCTCACTTAGGAAACACGGAGTCTCACGAAGAGGGCGATCCCGCAATGGTGCTGCTCAGAGCATGGTTTTGGGCAATGTTGCTCATGATGTCCATGCGGCTGCTGTCTGGGGCGGAGGGCGAGCTGCCAGTGACGGATGGGCATGGTGTGGTGGACCCTCCGGAGGACGTGAGCTCCGACGGTGATGAAGGGCGAGCCCGTGCTTTGGAGCAGCAAGTGGCAGCCGACGCTGAGGTGAACCGTGCTCTGGCAGAAGGACAGGAGGAGTGTCGCCACGAGGAGGAGGCTCGCCAACATCAGCGCCGCGTTCGTGAAGAGCACAGAGCGGCACAAAGGCGGCAAGAAGTCGAGGTTGAGGAGCGGTCACGCCAGCGGTGGAGAGAAGCCGAATCTTCCCGGCTCCGGGCTTTGCTTGAGGAGGAGATGAGGGTCCAGATGGAAGCCGAGGTCACCCAGCGGGTCGAGCAGGCGCGTTTGACCTTTGTAGAGGAGGCTCTGGCCGTTTCGCGTGACAGTCCGGTTTTGCTGCTTTTGCAACAGATGGGCGCGATTCTGGAACGGCTGGGCGATGGGCAGCTTCTCATAGACGCCATCCGCGAGCATACTGCTACTGTGGTTCTTCGAACTGAAGATATGCACCAGCAGTTCCTGAGCACAACAGACAAGATGCTCAACCTGATGGCCCATCAGATGTCAGCTCCGGGGACACCAAGGCGAGCTCCTGGGACGCCTACTCCAGCCGGCCGAGCCTCAGCCCCAGGCAGATCGAAAACGGCGACTTTGGCGCGGTGTGGAGTTTGCGAAAACTGTGTCTTCAGACAAACCCAGCCGAGCAGCCGAAGGCCGTGCTTGAAGCCTCCAAATGTGATGCCTCCGCAGCAGCCTGCTGCAGCTTTGGAAAAAAATGCAGCGCCGTCGGAGAAGGCCAAGGCGTCCGCTGCAAAGCCTGGGAAAAGGCCGCTACCGGAGGAGGAGTCCCGGAGGCGGCGCAGAAAAAAGAGGATTGCTGAGGCTCCGGACAGCCGCCCACTGGGGGCCGGCAAAAAGGACGACGAGGATGACGAGCATGACGGTGGCTTCGTCTCGGATGCTATGAGCGGCCTTTTCGTCCAGGACCAGTTCTTTGGTATGGGGATGTAGCACAGCAGAGCCAGCTTTTCAGCTCCAAGTTTTGCCGCGCACAACGAGCACCGCCCCTGTCCCCAAACGGATTTTTCACGGTGAGCTTAGTATGCAAGTACATCCTAGTCGTCGAATCCGTTTGGGGGCGGCGGGGGGTGCAACGAGGGAGTGGCGTTCACCCTGTGAAAGTGTGCTGCGGGGTTCGGTTTTTGTTCCGGGTGTTCAGGGTCCCCAACCCCTTTCGGCCCCGACTGTAGGCTTGACCTCCCCTTGCGCCCAGTGCCCTGCGTCAGGTCCCCCGCCCCAGTGCCTTGCGTTAGGTCCTCCCGGCTGCCCTGCGTTGGGTCCCCCGCCCCAGTGCCCTGCTTTAACTTTGTTCTCCGAGCTCCTTCCTTTCAAGCTGGGCTGGGTCGGGCCGGGCTGGTGGGTGGGACGGGTTGCGCCGGGAGCTCAGAGTGTTTGCCTTGAAGGGGTTCGCCCTAGGAGTGCAGGTAGTGCCGTGTCTGAGGTTTCAGGGTTTCTTTGGCTTGCGAGGCTTTGTGAGGCTGCCAGGCAGTGCTCTGCGACCCTGCCCCCCGCCTCGCCTCGCCCCTTCTCGCTCCCGCCGCCCAGGTTCGACCTCGTCTCTTCCATTGCCGGGCTCCCGCAGTGCCGCCTCGGAGGGTCGCCACTAGGAGTGCCGTCGGTGCTTGTTCGGTTTCTGGGCCCACCGTTTCTGCGCCCAGGTCCGGGCTTGTCGCTGTGCGTCGGGAGCTCGCTGCCGGGGTTCCTTTTCGCCGTCTCCCGCCTGCATCGCGACCAGGTCATGAAGCCGTGGGGCCCGTGGGACAAGGAGCTCGGCATTGGCTTCTACGAGCTCGACAGCGAGGAGGACTCGCGTGAGTGGAAGGAGCCCAAGGGCAAGCCTCGCGCCAAGCTCTAGGTCTCCCCCCGTGCCGTTGCCCCCGCTTCCCTCTCGCCCAGGTCCGCCTCGGCTAAGTCGAGCTCGTGCAGTCCGGCTGTGAAGAAGGCTTCGGCGGGCCGCTAGCCCGGATCCGTTTGCATTGCTTTTGCCCATGGCCTCTCTTCCCAGGTCCTGTGGACAAGAAGAGGAAGGAGCCTGCCGGCCGCGAGCTCGGAGCCTTTGCCTGGCTTCTTCTCCCCGCCGTCTCGCCGTAGGCGATGGTGAGCTGGCCAAGCGGTCAGCGAAGAAGGTTTTGAAAAAGCCGGCCCGGCGCTACAGCTCGCGCGAACTCGGCTTTGGAGCAGCGGTCGCGAGCCAAGGCCAAATCGCAGCCCCAGGCGAAGGCCGCCAACGGCAAGCCGAGCTGATCCTGCGGTCGCGGGCTCAGCCTTCTTCTGCCGCCTGTGCTCTTCTCCGCTCCCCGTTCTCAGGTCCCAGACCATGTGCCGCGGGATTCGCAGACCCCGCCAGGACAGAGCATTCTCGCACGTCGCGTGTCGCAAAAAAATCTGGCACCTGTTTGGCACCTGCCATCGCAGCCGCGCGCTGAAATTAAGAACCCAATTAAGAACCTAATTAAGAACCTAATTAAGAACCCGATTAAGAACCTCATTCAGAACCTGCGCGTTCACTCTTGCGTGCTGTCGAGATTTGGGCTTGGAAAGGCAATTCGCATCCTCGCTTAGCAGCTTCAGCCATGGTCGGTAAGAAGGCGCCGCAGACGAACCGCATCACCTACCTTCAGAGGCTTTTGGGCCCGGACGCTCCCCGGCAGCTGTGTCCCGCAGAGCGCACCAAGATGTCCAGGGAGCTCGAGCAGTTGAAGCAGAGGCGGGAGGAGGGCATCCGGACGCGGCGCCATGTGAGCTCCGAGGCCGACCGCATCATCGCCAGCGGCCAGGCTTCAAGCGAGATGGTGGCGGTCGAGGTGAGGCAGGGGACCGCCACGCTGGAGCAGCGCTTCGACCGACTGGATCGGCGCCTGGACGCTGTGATCGGCCCGAGCGAGTCGTCGGAGAACTTGCGGTTGATGGCAAAAGCCGCGGCCAAGCGGGAGCGGGAGGACGCCAAGGAGCTGAGGATTTTGCACGAGGGTCTCCTGGAGGACGGCGACCAGGTGCTCGGGGGCGTGGTGATCAAGCCCGGCGGCGAGGAGCTCGTGGATGGGTGCCGCGACCTGGACGCGGTGATCGTGTGGGGCGGCATGAGGTGCAGGCTCGTCCGCCTTGGGCCCGATGGCGTGGTGCTTTTGCACCTCCTTGCGCCGGTCGAGCTGGCCCAGCTCAAGAAGCACCACTCCACGGCCATGCGGGGTTTCGTCATCGAGGCCATCTCCTACACCGACCTCCGCTGGAAGGACCAGAAGCAGCCCGTCTTGCTCTCTTCGGACCGTAGGCTTCCGAAGGCGGCCAGCATCCGAGTGGCGCTGCAGAAGGGGACACGTGTGCTGGAGCTTTTCCCCGTGAAGGCTGAAAGGGAGCCGCCGGCCAAGCGACGGGCTCTTTCTGAGAAGGGTGACGTCCAGGAGGTCGAGAAGCCGGTGCTCGTAGACCAAGCTGCTGGCAGCGAGGCACCTGCCCATGGAGACCGCCGCGGAGGAGCAGGTCGAGGAGCCCGTTGCGTCGTGGAGACCTTGGAGGAGCAGATCGAAAAGCCGCTGGCTCCGGACACGGATGCGGGCAGCACCGCCGCTCCGGGCACCGAGGCGCCCTTCACGCCTGAGATGCCGGAGGAGGCCCCGGCATCACCAAAGGAGCCCGAGGAGCTTTGGGAGATCGAGCACGGCGGCAGCACCATCCGCTTCGCCTTCCTGCGCTTCACGGTGTTCAACTACCGCAAGTACGCCGTCGGCAGGCCGGTGGACCCGAAGCAGGAGCTCCCGTCGTGGTACCTGAACCACGAGCTCTTCGAGGAGTACGATGCGCGAGCCAGGCACCTTTGGATCCGGGCCATCAAGTTTGAGCGTGAGGCCCGGAAGATCGCCTTTCCCGAGGTCGCTGGGAGCCCGCGGAGCCGATGGAGAAGGAGCCCAGTGCGGAGCAGCTCGTGACGGAGGAGCCGGCGGAGCCAATCGAGAAGGAGCCCAGCTCGTGACGGAGGAGCCCGCAGAGCCGGCCGAGAAGGAGCACGAGGAGCCCCCTGCCGAGGTTCCGGAGGCCCAGCGCGCCGAGGAGCCCGCGCCCGAGATCCCGGACACTACTGCGCAGGAGCCCACTGCCGAGATCCAGAATGCCGCGGGTGAAGCCGACGACGTGGAGATCGTGGAGGGCCTCAGGGTGCGCCGTGTCGAGGATGGCTGGCTCGAGCTGGCTGCCCGGACCTTGGCGGAGTATGCGGAGGACCTGAAGATCCTGGGGCCCAAGCTCGCGGATGGGACTTTCTCCGGATTTCTCCGCGCACAGGTTGAAATGGGGCGGTGACAAGTGGGCCGCGGAGCTCTTCGAGATCAACAAGGTCACCGGCAAGCTTTACCAGCGCAAGGGGCGAAGGTCCGTCCATCCGGACGAGACCAGGGTGCGAATCCGCTTGAGCGCCTAGTTTTAGTTTTGTCACACGGGTGCCGCCTTGTACAGCAAAAGGGACAGCACAGTCGCGGGGATCGCCCACGCTGGCGTTCTTATCCCCGCCCACCCTTTCGGCTCGTACCTGCTCAGGCATCACCTCGGCGCGGGGCGCCAAAACATTGCGAGCTCCGAGCTGTGATTTGCCAGGTCTTGAGCTTCCTTCCTGTGAGCCCTTGTTTGTCCCGTTGCAGCTCAACCCTTTGTGACAGCAGCCATTTCCAGATCAAATTTTTGGGGGTCGGTAGTGGCGGGCGCGCCGCGAGCTGAAGAGGCCGGGCTCGCGCCACAGTCTTTTTCCAGTGTCTCGTTTTGTGCCTGTCAGGTCCCGCAAGAGATGGAGCTTCCCATCGCTTCCGAGCTGATTGTTTCCTTCCTGGCTGCTCCCGCGGATGTCCAGCAGCAGTCCCAGCGGGCAGGTGAGAGGAGTATTCGTCATGTGCCGGGAGGACAGTCGGCTTTCGAAGGTTACGAGACGGAGGACGAGATCGAGCCGGCATTCGGCAGCTGCGCCAAGGACTTGTCGGCCCTCGCTGCGGCGGCTCGGTGCTTTGGCTCCACCCAGGGTCCCTTGGAGATGCTGAAGGCGGTGGCCGACGGGCAGGTGGAGGCAGCCAGGGAGGCTTATGAGCAGTACTCCGAGTTCTACCACACATGGGATGAAAATATGGGGACCGACGGGGCTCCCTGTTCTCCCGGATACTTGCTCTGGGTGACTCTCCGCGACAGAAGGCCCTGGGACGTTCTATCACCGTATCAGGTCGCCCAACGAGTTTTTGCGGCGCGCCCCGACGAGATCAGCGACGAGCCCCTGGAGCCCTGAGTGCCCTAGTGTACAGAGTGGGCTGCTTCGCACAGTGTAGCCCACGGCTCGTTCACGGGAGCCAGTGAAAAAGAAGGCAGCTCAGCTTGTCAAGCAGTCCAGCCGGGTTTTAGTCGTTCAGGGCTCCAGGGTCGCTACCTGTAGACTGGCAAACAATTCGCAACCATGGCGACCAACAAGCGCGCCGCGCTGTTCTTCGAGGAGCCCCTGAAGCGCCCTCGGGTCGCGGGGGGGTTCGAGTCGCTGCCCGACGCGGTGCTCGGGTCGATCGTGGATTTTCTTTTGCCGATCGCCCGCAAGGACGACCGGTACGCCCAGTACCAGCGCATGGCCGCGCGCATGTACGACGCGCCCGCCTACAACCACGAGGCGATGCCTTTGGCGCGCGACGCGCTCGCCCTGCTCGGCTCCTGCCGGCTCCTCCGCTACGGCCCCCTCTTCGCCAAAACGGCCGTCTTCCAGCGCATGCTCCACGACACCTTCGTGGGCATTTGTCGGGACAGGCTCGCCCACGACTGCCGCTGCCCGCAGTACGAGCTCCGGTCCCTGGAGATCACCGTGGGGCGGATGCCCCCGGCGCAGGGGCGGCGCCACGCTCTCGAGCAGTCGCTGCTCCGCCTCGAGGTCAAGGCGCCCACGTCCAGGCGCCGCTGCAATCGCCACGTGGCGCACGGCGCCGGCCTCAACCGGATCAGCGGGCGCCCTTTTCCGGGCAAGATGGAGCAGGTCGAGGACGAGGACGAGCTCAAGCGGCTCTGGGTCTAGGCGTCGTAGAAGAGATACCTGATCTCGAAGCCGCCCGGCGGCGGCTCCTCGAGCGCCTCCAGCAGCTGGCGCCGCCGCTCCTCGGGCCCGGCCCTGGCCTCCTCGCCCTTCACCCGGAAGGCGTCCGGGTTGTAGCGCGCGAATTTCACCGGCTCCGAGAAGCTGTCCCGCACCCGGCGCATGCGCCGGCTCTCCTGGTCCGGGGACCTCAGGCAGTGCTGGTGCTCGTCCACCTCGAGCGCGCAAACGCCCCAGGGGCGGCGCAGCAGGAAGTCGAGCCGGGCAAGCTCCGGCTCCTCGCCGTCGCGGAGGTCGACGCGGTAGGTCCGCTCGAAGGCCAGCCCCGCCTCCTCCAGCCACTCCGCCACGCGGTCCTCCCGCGGGCAGCCCAAGCGGCGCCCCTTGGCGTGGCTGTTGAGGTGCTTCCGCAGGTCCACCGCCAGGTGGCACCGGTAGGGGCACAAATGGCACTGGTGCGGCCGCTCGTCCCGGTGCCGGATGCGCACGTGCTGCTCGAGCTCGTCCTTCCTGCCGAAGCGCTTGTGGCACTCCGGGCAGGGAAAGGGCTTCTCCTTCAGGCGCACGCTCGAGACGTGCCGCTGAAGGTGGCTCCGGAAGCCCTTCTTGCAGTGCTGGCAAGCATGAGCCATGGCTGTGCTCTTTGGTAGCCTTAGGCGAGCGGCCGCCCGCCGTGGCACCCCTGCCCTCTCGGCCTTGGCTTGAACGAGCTAGGGCCCGGAAGGCAGGGGCGCCACGGGCCCGGGATTGAAGTCCCGCAGCTGCCGCACCGCTAAAGGCACCGGTCGCCTGGTCAGCCGCGCCGCGGGCTCGCCGGAGCCCCGGGGCACCGGCAGGGCGTGCTTCAGCAGGGTCTCGCTGCCGTTCGTGGCCCTCGCCGTCATGGAGTCGTAGCCCGCCAGCTCCCTGACCGCCCCGGCCCGTACTGGGGCTGGAAGCTCCTCGCCGCGTTCGTCGGGGCCCGCCTCCTCCAGCCGCCGCTGCCGGCCCTCCGTCAGACGCTTGTTGTGCTCGAACTTCCGGGCGTTGTCTTGGTAGACGCGGAAGCTCGCCGCGGGCATCGTCTCCACGTCCTCGGGCGCCACCGTGACCGCCGCGTGCGGCCGGGCGTTGTAGGCCTCCGTCGCCTCGTCGACGTGATCCCCCCAGCCGCCGCCGTGCCGGGCTACCTCGCCCGCCAGGTCCTTCTTCAGCGTTTGGATGGCCCGGTCGTGGCGTTCCGGTCCTCCGGGCGCTTCTGCCGGTGCACCGCGTCCCCCGGCAGGGCCTGCTCCAGGCCCCGAAACTCGTTCCCCTGGTCCGTGGTCACCACGAAGTTCCCCTCGCCCTCCACGAGCTGGGGGACGATCTCCGCCGCCACCGTCTCCGCGCTTGTCCGGGAGCGCCTTCGTCGCCAGCTCCCGGGTGAAGACGTCCTGCACCACCAGCCCGTACCGGCTCCCTCCCCTGGTGTTCTGGGAGAAGTCGATGAGGTCCGCCTGGAGCCGCTTGTCGGGCCCCTCGGCCGCGCTCTTCCCCAGGCTGCCTCGCCACATCGCTGCGCAGGGCCGCCTGAGCCCGCGCAGAGGTGAGGTCCCGCCGTCCGGGAAACTCCCGCCGGGCGATCTGGAAGAGCTTCCTGGGGTCCCGCACGTTAAAATCGCGGGCCAGCTGCTGAAAGAGCCCGATGGCCTCCCTCCGCCATTTCCTTAGTCCGAGTCGCCCTTGCTCTTCTTCTTCTTCTCCAGCTTCTCCACCCGCTTCTGCAGCTTCTTCACCACGCCCCACAGCACCACGCTGAGCTTCTGATAATCGAGGGCCATGAGGTCCCGGCCGTCCAGGTTCTTCGTCTTGCACATCGTGGCGCCTAGCTTTCCGCTGGCCTGCACGTCCTGAGCCACGAAGCCGATCTGTTCCTTGCCGCCGTCGATGCGGTCGTAGAGCTGCGGCTCCACGGCGTCGAAGGTCTCTTGCAGCTCCTCCTCCGGGATGGCCCGCACGTTCTCCTTGAGCGCCCGGTCGCTCAGGTTGACAAACCCATACCCGAAGATCAGCTCCCCGTCGTTGCTGCCCCCGGTGTTGGGCTCGATGGCTAAATTCGCCAGGCCGCCGGTGGTGTTGAAGCTCATGAACTGGTCCAGTGCGTTCAGCTGCATCCCTCCGTTCTCCAGCGCCACCAGCTCGCCCTTGCCGCCGGCGGGCGTGTTATCCTGCGTGGACAGGAAGAGCCGCGCCACGCCCGTGGGCGCCTGGTTGATCACCGCGAGCTCGCAGAAGCCGCCCGGATCCCCGAGCCCCGTGACGGCGGCGAACTTGGTGTTCAGCTCCAGGCCCGTGGTGCCGCCCGAGAGGTAGACCCAGTAAACCCAAAAGTCCATTTTGGCTTTCCCCCTTAAATCAATACGCTTTGTTTAGCGTTTACATACCCTATTTTAACAATCCTTAAATTCAGTGTTTTCACATGCCTTATTTAAAGTGCTTTTTCTTGTATGGTTTGCATGCATGTCGTGGCATGCATATATATATATATATATAATATGTATATACAAATTATGTATATGTATATGTACATGTATATATATATATATATATATATATATATACACACACACACACACACACACACCCGCCCACCCACCCACCCACCCACCCACCCACCACACACACACACACACACACACACACACACTCACACACACGTGTACACACGTACACACACACACACACACACACACTCGCGGTCGGCTTCGATCCAGGAGGGGTTCGATATAATGCTCTCCTGTCGACGTGCGATCGCGACCTATAGGAGGGGTTCCATGCAATCTCTCCTGCATGGCGATCATGGCATGATCATGCATCGGCTGCCTGCACGTGCATTTGACTCTCGATCCTTGATCATCATTTTGGCTCGATCCCTCGATTTGGGACGTCGATCGAGATTCGCGATTCATGCTTCCTGGCCGGATCCCCATCGATCATGACCCGTGCAGCTAACACAGCGACTGTGGAGCAAGTGAAGAAGATGTTGAATGCGAACTACAAGAAATTGGGCAGCCAGTATACAGAGTCGCATCCTGCAAAGGTAGCCTGTGCTTACGAGGCCTTCATCTTGGATTACCTCAACGTCTCCTCGCGACCGGTCAAGACTGTGATCTCCAAAGCTGCTTGCTTGGCCTTTGAAGGACTTGAGCAAACTGAGGCCGACCATTTTGGCCGCCAGATCGCGAATGTTGTGCAGTTTGCTCGCTTGAAGAGGAAGAGCATCTCCAGCGGCAAAAGGACGGATCCTGCTGTACTTCGCATTGTTGAAGCCCTAAGCAGAAGAGAAGCCCGAGAGGAACAAGCCAAGATGGGGATTGCACCTCCCAAGCCGAAGTTGTGGAGGGGCAGGAGAACATTGACAAAGGGCAACTCCGATTCCAAGCCGCCTCTGCCCGTAGAGCCTGCTGGAGAATCAGAGCCTGATGGAGAACGGCGGCCTAGGAGGAGCACATCCTCCTCGTCGGACATCTATGCTAGGTATGGGCTTTCGGTCCCCCGGGCGCCGATCGGGCATGCGACGGCGATCGATGTGATCTCGAGCAGTGGTGATGAGGCTTTTGCAGTCGAGGAGGATGATCATTCTCCTGCAGATGCAAAGACCGGCTCGAAAGCTAAGTCTCACTCGAGCACTGCCGGACCATCGTCCAAGGCCAAGAGGATGAAGTTGTCTTCTGGCGAGGCATCGAAGCCTTCCAATCCTGGAACTTCGCTTACGCAGGCCAGCCATGAAGCTCGTCTAGATCAGCCCTTGAAGCAGCCCATTTTCACGTACACGGATCAGCATGCCTGCAAGAGCCGGACGATCCTTGCTGATGGCAGTGAGATTTCCACTGACCTGCCCGAGGGTGCTGTTCCAAAGACGGTGATTGAGCATCATAATGCTCTGGCCAGTGCGGCGGCAATGAAGAAGCCAGCTTCTTGTTTGGCACCGAAGAAAAAGCCCAAGAAGGCCAAGGCCAAGGCCAAGGCGAAGGCGAAGCAGACGGCGGTTAAGTCCAAGGCGAAACCGAAGGCCAAGACCCACGAAGCGGCTGCACTTCCGAATGATCCTGCAAGTGATCCTGTCCCTACAGCTCCTGCTGCACCCGCAGCTCCAGGTGATGATCCTGCTGTTGTACCAGCTGCAGACGACGATCCTCTCCACCAGGTTCGCATTACTACGACCATGACGAACCCAAGGGTCTACATCACGGGCT